CAAGGAGGAACAAAGAGGCAAAACCAAAGTCAACAAGGGGGTTACTCTAGTAATAGAGGACAAGGTCAGCAAGGAGGGAACAAAAATCAGAATAATAGGTCTCAAGTAGTGTGTGCTAAATGTGGAAGGAGAAGCCATACTGAGAATGAATGTCGTGTCGGTACCAATACTTGCTACCGATGTGGGAGTCCTAGTCATTATATTAAGGATTGTCCTAAGTTCATAACATTTACACCAATTTTAAAGGGACCTGCTCCATCTGGTGCAGATCGAGGAAGGAACAACACAGGAGGCACAAACCGAAATCTACCTCGACCACCCACAACTGGAAGAGTTTATGTGATGAGACAGGATGAGGCAGATAATGATGACACTGTGATCACTGGTACTTTCTCTATCCATTCTTCACATGCTCATGTTCTCTTTGACTCTGGAGCATCACATTCTTTTATTTCCCCAATATTCGCCAATAGTTTGTAATTGAAACCATATTATGACTTTCTTGGCATAAGTGTTTCCCTCCCTACTGGAGAAACCGTAAAATGTGGAACCATGTATAGAGACTGTCCAATTATTTTAGAGGGAGTCGAATTCCCAGCTAATTTGATAGCTTTTGACCTATCTGAGTTTGACATAATTCTGGGTATGGATTGGTTAACTAAGCATGAGGCCAAAATTGATTGTGTTGAGCAAAGTTTAACCCTTAAAGCTCCAAATGGAGAAAGGATATCCTATCAAAAGTTTGAAAGAAAACCAAAGATTCAAATAGTCTCTGCTTTGAAAGCTCACCAGATTGATAAGAGGATATGTGGTTATCTTTGTAGTGTGGTTGACTTAAACCCATCTGAATCATTAGTAACTAACATTCCTATAGTTTGTGAGTACCCAGAAGTCTTTCCAGAAGAGATACCTGGCATGCCACCACCAAGAGAATTAGACTTTACCATCGAGTTAATTCCAAGATCGACTCCTATTTCTAAAGCACCATATAGGATGGCACCAACTGAATTACAAGAATTAAAGAAACAATTAGATGAGTTGCTTGAGAAAGGATACATTCGACCGAGTGTGTCACCTTGGGGAGCCCCAGTCTTGTTTGTGAAGAAAAAGGATGGAAGTTTGAGGTTATGTGTCGATTATAGGGAGCTAAACAAGATCACAATAAAGAAAAAATACCCTTTACCTCGTATTGATGATTTATTTGACCAACTTCGAGGTGCAAAAGTATTCTCAAAGATTGATTTGAGGTCTGGATATCACCAACTCCGCATTAAATCTGAAGATGTTCCAAAAACTGCCTTTAGAACGCGATATGGTCATTATGAGTTTGTTGTAATGCCATTTGGGTTAACTAATGCACCAGCGGTGTTTATGGATTTGATGAACCGTATTTTTAAACCATACCTCGATAAGTTTTTTGTTGTTTTTATTGATGACATTTTGGTGTATTCCAAGAATAATGAGGAACATGAGGAACATTTAAGAATAGTGCTAGATACCTTGATAAAAAATCAGTTATATGCAAAATTAACAAAGTGCGAGTTTTGGCTAAAGGAAATATCATTTTTGGGGCACATTATTTCTGATAAGGGAATATCTGTAGATCCTGAGAAAATAAAAGCAATTGTGGAATGGCCTAGACCAACCAACGTTCCTGATGTACGAAGTTTTATGGGCTTAGCTGGATATTATAGAAGATTTGTTAAAGACTTTTCCAAGGTTGCATTACCTATAACTCGACTTGTGAGGAAAAATACCAAGTTTATTTGGGATAAAGATTGTGAGTCTGCATTTCAGGAACTTAAGAAACGTCTCACCACTGCTCCTATTCTCACCCTTCCATCTGGAAATGAAGGATTTCTTATTTATAGTGATGCCTCCAAGCATGGTTTAGGATGTGTATTGATGCAAAATGATAAAGTCATAGCTTATGCTTCTCGCCAGCTCAAAATACATGAACAAAATTACCCCACTCATGATCTTGAACTTGCTGCCGTAATTTTTGCAATCAAATTATGGAGACATTATTTATACGGTGCTTCATGTAAAATTTTTACTGACCATAAAAGCCTCAAGTATATTTTCACCCACAAGGAGATGAATATGAGACAACGTAGATGGTTGGAACTCTTAAAAGATTATGATGTAAGTATCCAATATCATCCTGGCAAAGCTGATGTTGTTGCTAATGCCTTAAGTCGTAAAGCTCGCCCGAGTTCAATTTTACCTTTTTCCCAAGCCAACTATAACGAATTACAAAGGATGGGAATCGAATTTATTCATAAGGATGGGAATGCTTGTCTAAATACACTAGAGATAAGACCGACATTGATAGATGAAATTAAGGAGGCCCAAAGTAAGGACTCACAATTGGAAAGAATAAAGAATGAGGTACGAAGTGGGAAATCCCCGGGTTTTGTAATTCAGGAGGATGGAACATTAAGGTTTCAAGGTAGATTATGTGTTCCCAATGAAGAGATGTTGAAAAAGAAGATTTTAGAGGAAGCTCATAGTTCACTATACTCGATTCACCCTGGAGGAAACAAAATGTACAAGGATTTGAAACAAATGTACTGGTGGAGTAACATGAAGCAAGAACTGGCGAAATTTGTAGCTAAATGTTTGACGTGTCAGAGAATTAAGATAGAACATCAAAGACCAACAGGTTTGTTACAACCGTTGGATGTACCAGAATGGAAATGGGACTCGATATCAATGGATTTTATCATAGGACTACCAAGGTCAACTAAGGGAATGAATGCTATTTGGGTCATTGTGGATCGATTAACAAAATCTGCACATTTCCTAGCAATGAAAAATAACTGGAGTCTGGATCAACTTGCTGAATTATATGTGAACACCATAGTGCGGTTACATGGGGTACCTAGTTCGATTGTTTTTGACCGTGATACAAGATATCAGGCTACATATTGGAAAGAATTACAAAAGGCGCTTGGAACAAAACTCAACTTTAGTACTGCTTTCCACCCAACAACAGATGGGCAAACTGAACGCACTAATCAGATTGTTGAAGATTTGTTAAGAGCATGTGTCTTGGATTTTCAAGGAACTTGGGAAAAATATTTACCTATGGTGGAATTTTCTTACAACAACTATCAAGCCACCATTGGAATGGCCCCATATGAAGACCTTTACGGGAGGAGATGTCGAACACCATTGTGGTGGAGTGATATTGATGAGGTACGTGTCATAGGACCAGAGCTGATTCAAGAAACAACTGACAAGATTCGTCTTATCCAATCAATAATGAAAGCTGCTTAAAGAAGACAAAAAAGTTATGCAGACCAACGAAGGAGACCGTTAGAGTTTGATGTAGGAGACCATGTATTTTTAAAAATTTCTCCTACAAAAGGAGTTATGATATTTGGTCAATCAGGAAAGTTAACTCCAAGGTACATCGGGCTGTACGAAATCTTAGAAAAAGTGAATAAGGTAGCATATCGACTTGCCTTACCCACCGACTTAGAGAAGGTGCATAATGTGTTTCATGTGTCAATGTTACGGAAATATGTCCCTGATCCAAGCCATGTGATTCAACATGAACCCTTACAGTTGCGGAACGATTTGACATATGAGGAAAAACCAATTGAAATCCTTGACCGCAGAGAGAAACAACTTAGAAACAAGGTAATTCCAGTGCTGAAGGTCTTATAGGCCAATCACCTAACATCTGAAGCTACATGGGAAGTGGAGGAACAAATGCGAACAAAATACCCCAAACTGTTTGTTTAACCACAAACAACGTATGGACTATTATATATTATATGTTATGATATTGTTATTGTAGAAATATTATGAGAATTGATTGATTAAATGTGACCTGTATGCTTTAATGATATAATTGTTCTTAGTTCGACTGAGCTCCAGTTTCGAGGACGAAACTTTTTCTAAGGGGGTAAGGATGTAATACCCGAGATTTTAAAACCCTATTTATCATACTCTAATATTTATTTTATTAGCTTAATTAAGGTTTTGTCTCTATTTTAACAAGAACAAATGTTTTAGTCTTAAATTTTATTTTAAAATGTATTTCAGCTTAAGTAATATTTTATGTTCCGTATGTTTACAGATTTATATCAAAATCAGTATTTTTGCCCGAGAGAATAAAATGACCAAAATGCCCTTATTCATACAAAAGGACAAAACCCACCTCTTCAATATAAATTTCCTTCACGATTAAGTTATGAAGATCAAAATTATTTTACATCTCCTAATACTTGTTGCTTAATGTCTTGCTAAACCAATCAAGGATAATTGATTAGACTTTGCCAACTTAGCTTGAGTTTATCCTACTTCCTCAAGGTGTAGGTATAAAAGGGAACAAGAAGACAAATTCTACCTCTTCAATTACCACCTTCACGGTTAAGAAATGACTTGGGATAAGGCCAAATTTGTTTCTTCCAATTCCTATAAGAATCAAATTATAGTTATCATGTGACTTAGTTAATCCTATTTTCTTCCTCCTTCTCTTGCAAGTCTTAGCAACAAACATACTACTTTCCAACCGTTAAAGAAATACCGCAATTACTGTCACCCCTCTTCTCCTACTACCGCCTGACCTCTATCATCATCGGTCAACCGTCGCCGCCCCCCCCCCCCCCCCCCCCCGTGTGCGCTGCCTCCCCTGTACTGCCCAAAACCACCCATCCATTTCTTTCATTTTGGGTGATGCGTGCTATGTTCTTGCTAAGTTAAAGATTGGTCTTATGAAATCAAGCTCTTAAACTTGTTTATTTATACACCCAAAGGTAAGGGACACTTTATGATTTATGTTTTGTAAAAGGATTTGATTTAATTAAATATACTTGTTTACTAGCTTTTTGAAGGAATTATGATACAACTACTTTTATCAAAAAGTTCTCAAAAAGTTACGTAACATTTATTTCTAAAGATGAGTTTAATATTGTTTTCATACTAAATTAATTAAAGAGTTTATAATTTTAATAATTTTCCTTACTAATGCAATAATTTATATTTTCAAGAAGAATCGGACCTCGGAGCTCAGTGAGAACGATAGAATAAAGGCTAACAGGAAGGTTATCAGACTGTAAATCGAGGTAACGGCTATTGCTAGTACCCGCAATTCCCTTCAAAATGTGTTTATAAAAGCATGATGTCATTTTTGAAAGTTGTTTATATCTCTGGATTTATTGACTTGCGGGATGATGATTGTGTTTATTAATGTACTCCAGTCTAATGATTTATATGAATGATTTTTATTGATAAACGTTGTTTTATTGATCTTTGGATCTTACGAAAGTATGTCATGAATCTATGAATGACTTATGTAAAAGTTACACAACATGATAAGTAACAGTGAAAAACCTAGTCCGTCTGGCAGTATATGTTTACAGGTTACTTTTCGGTCATGCATGTACCCATGGGGCATTAGCCCAACTATGTCGAGCATCTGCTCTATGTTATGGGCACCGGCCCATCGCGGAAGACGTTCCGCCATGTCATACTTGCCAGCGACTAGCATGTTAATATGAACATTATATATATCATTATATGAATTTTATTAAATGTTTTAAGATACTCTATTCTCCCTGTTTTGTTAACTAATGAATTGAAATGATGTTACACTACTAGAGTAGTTCGTTACTGAGTCTTCGGCTCACCCTTTTTTATGTTTTAGGTACTGCTGGGGATGATGGAGACGAGTAGTAGCGAGGATTTTACTTTCAGTTATCACTTAATAGTAGTTATAGTTTTAATTTGTTTAATTTGAATAGTAAGACTAAGCTACTTAGTAAAGTTTGAGATAATATAGGATTTTCTATTATAAAAATTAAGAATAATGTTTGTTATAAATAGATTACTATGTTTTATAAATCAAGTTTGTTAATTAAGTATGTTTGTTGCCTTGTAAATCTCGTGAGGGATTTACGGCAGTGACGTCCCGACCGTGTTAGGTTAATTCCGCTGCTAAGATTATCTTAATAATTGAATTAGAGGTCGGGGTGTTACATAAACACTCACCCCTTTGATACTTTGTTACTACGGTGGAGGTTCCCCAACAATAAGGAATCCATAAGTGTTCTAAACGGAGATCTAGCAAAGAGAAGTGGTAAATTCCCGAGCATTTAGTTAAATCACGTTTATTTTCTCGTTTAAAAGAACCTTAATTAATTAATTAGTGTTGTTTGATCACCTTTAAAATAATTAATTAATCAATTCCATATAGCATCTTTTGTTTAATAAAGATTAGAATTGAATAAAATAATTGTTGGTTGATCACTTAAGCCAAGGCGAATATTGTTTATTTTCTTGTTCTTTTCACGAATTTAATTAAATAAGAATAAAGACCTTACGATGTAATTCCTACGTGAATTGATGTGTGTAAATAAAATCAATTGACATAGTTTTAGGTATCACGTTTTATATATTGTTTGGTGATGAAATTGTGCAAAAGGAAGAGCTAATAGAGGCCGCACTAGGGCTAGGATCGCGATTCCCCTCTAAAGGGAACGTTATCTTAGTACCCTCGCTCCCGAACTCATTTCTGGTTTATGTATACCAATTTGGGCATGGGTAAACTTATGATTCATGCTAAATATCCTTTGAACTCTACTTGGGAGAAAGGCATGAACGGGGTTTATGGGTTTTCCTCAAACTCATTGGCGACTCCTACTTGTTCCTTACAAAAAGCGTGTATGATAGAATCATTTATAATTCAAGGTCCCCCAAACAGTCAGGAATTTAAATCCTAATACACCCTAAAAAGTGTAAAGTCATAGGATTTTAAAGGGCCATGGGCATTTAAGGAGAGTACCCCTTACAATGGGATCACCCTCCTTACATTGGCGACTCACTTGGGACTTAGAGGTTACATGATTAGTTCGTAGTTATGGTCCAAGGTTTCCAACACCAGGTTGCCTATGGGTTGTAACGAGAGCTAACTTGGATAATCTCTAGTTAGAGAGCGAGACTTGAACGCATAATATCTTCCTTTTTCACAAAAGTAAAAACCAAACAAACAACATTGCATCAGGCATAAGTATAGAACACTCAAACATTGGGGATTGGCTCATTGACTAGGGGTTGCCAACACTAGGCTTCTATCCCGAAATCAATAACAATCATCCCACCCATATCGCCAACAAAATGTTTGGAGGACGATGTCATAGTTCAACTCGTTGAGTGATTCATTTGTGCGTCATTTCTTAAGATATGGAACCTTGGACACCCACGCCTTTTGACCTTAGAATGGCAATACGTGAATCTTGACTTGTGGCATGCTTATGTGATTATGTGACTATATGCAACGTGTTAGGATAGTCTTCTTTTTTTAGTTTGGTCTAGGTTCCCAATTACGAGGTCGTCTCTTCGTGATTTAGAGTCATATTCGAAGGGTAACATAAAAAAAAACAACAAAAAGAACAATGCAAAAAAAAAAGGGGGAAAACAAAAAAAAAAGCCCTCGAAAAAAAAAAAAATCATACGAGCAGGTGGCGCGCGCAACTCATTGAGTTGCGCAACCCCTCCCAGCGCAAGTCATTTCGTTGCGCATGACATCCGCGCGCAACTAAATCACTTGCGCGCGCCCACTGTACGAATCAATTTTGATTTTTCAAAAAACAATTGACTCGTCAAAACGATATCTTTATTCAAGAATTGTTAAGGACGATGTTATCCTTTCGAATATATCTTGCGTCATTTTCTTTTTCTTTCTTCTCCTTCTAAACAAGCGTATCAGTTTACTTATTCTTTTGTACTTCTTTTAGGGCCGGTTTCCAATCTTGGGAAAGAAGACTCCCAGGCACTTGCCTTCTACGTTTAACATCCAAAGATCAATCCCTTTCAAACCATTTTTCTTCAACAACTAGTCCTAGTCCAACAACCATGTCAACCATTGAAGAACTTCAAGAGGAGATTCTTCGTTTGAGAGAGGAAAAGGCTCAAGAAGCCGAGGAGAAAAGAATAAAGAAAATTGAAAAGGCTAATAAAAAAATGCTAAAGCCTTAGCCTTGCAAGAAAATATGGAACAATTATCCATCAAAGAAAAGTCGTTGGAGAAGCTAGTTCTTCGTTCTACAATGGGGAACAAGTACTTCGATGCAGAAAAGTTTGCTCCTCCCGCAGGACTTGCTTTACCAGAAAAGTTCGTAGCTACGGACTTGCCAATATTTAAGGTGACCAATAATCCACAAAATCATTTAATGTGTTTCACTGGCACCTTGGCATTAAAGGGAGTTGATCCTAAACTTTATGCTTTGACTTTCCCTTTATCTCTAGACCCAACCGTAAGAGAGTGGTACTATGGGCTAGATCCAAAATTCAAGGAAACATGGGAAGATGTAGTTTCGGCTTTCATTACCGAATATGAGAGTAACGTAGAGTTCAAATCCACTCTATGTGAACTCGAAATGGTAAAGCAAGGCGACGATGAAAGTTTCCTTGCTTTCTATGGTAGATGGCGAGAAAAGGCGGCCCACCTTGCCCAAAGGCCACCCAAAATCGAATTAGTACATAAATTCATTGACAACTGTCATGAAAAGTACAACAAACATCTACGTTACCTTGGTTTAGACACTTTTCAAAAGGTCTATTCCGTGGCTACTAGGATTGAAGATGATCTTGCTAAAGAAAAAGCAAATAAACCCCATCATCATCATCAACCTAAAAATAACTAAAAGAAGGGGAATGATAGCACATCATCCTTTATTGACGTATTGGCGACCTCCACGCAATACAATAACACGAATAAATATAATGATCCTAGGAAAAGATGGACAAGAGAAAGAAAATTTACTCCATTTCCTGTGAGCTATAAAAAATTGCTAGAGAAATTAAATGAAAAAGGTTTACTTGCACCAACAGGACCAACACCACGCACTCCACCAAGAAGATTTGCTAATTGGGATGGTAATGCTTATTGCCCTTATCATAGAGGAAATGGACACGATACTGAACATTGCTTTGTCTTAAAGCATAAAATACAAGATTTGGTAGACGATGGGAGAATTCCCACGCCTAAACCTAATAATAATGCGTCCTCCTTAGGGGTGTTTCACATCAATGAGGACCATATAGGAAGTGATAGGTTCAATCCTTTGAACTATATCTCACCTATAGGAGAATCTTTATCCACAATACTCATAGGGGCAACTAATGAAGTATGTGGACTATGGGACGACGACTTTCTAGACTTATATGTCTCTAAGTATGCCGCCATCCCACCTCCATCTTATTTACAAAATGAAACAAATGGAGCGCTTGATTGAGATTATTTCTTGGGGAAGTCACAAGACTTATCAAATCTCTCCTTGGATGAACAATGGCATCAATCTCAACTCATGGAACATCTTGAAATAGAGGCACGCTCAAAGCCTCTAGAAGAAAGTTGGTTTATGAGTCCTACAACTAATCCAAACGAGATAGATCATCTAACTCGTTATGGGAGAGTTTACCAAGCACCACCACCAAATGGATCTTCGACCACACAAAATCAAATTCAAGGTCAAATGCAAAATACAATACCACCTCCACTTGAGGTGGAAGATCCATTGGTCAAACAACTTCGCCAATCCAAGGCAAATGTTAGCATTTGGGAACTCTTAAGTACTTCTAAAGAACATAGGAATTCCCTAATGAATGCTCTGACGGCTTTGTCTGTAAGCACAGACACAACCCCTCAAGATCTCGTTAGCTTGCTTACTAGCGAGAAATCTGTCAAATCAATCATTTTCACTTATGATGATTTGCCTTCAAAAGACACTACCCACAATAACGCCGTGGGGTGCAAGGGATACAACATAAAGGCAATTGTTGACATGCCTCCCCCTCAAACAGAAAAAGAAATTAGGGGGTTCCTTGGCAAACTGCAATACATTAGTCGATTTATCAACAAATTGACTATGACTTGTGAGCCAATATTTAAAAATTTAAAAAAAGAGGAAAAACATGAGGTAGAAAATGTCGAGCGTGCAATATTTTACATTAGTAAAAAATTCATCCAATATGAAACAAAATATAGCACCTTAGAAAAGACAATTTTAGCATTAGTGTGGGCAACTAAAAAATTACGACATTATATGCTACCACACACTACTCATGTGATTTCTCAACAAAATCCGATAAAGTATTTATTTGAACAACCACCTATACAAGGAAGAATATCCAAATGGTTGGTGATATTGCCCGAATTTGAGTTACAATATATTCTAGAAAAATAATGAAAGGAAAAGTAATTTCCGACTTTTTGGCCTAACATCCAATTCAAACAAGTCATGCAGAAACTACTGATCTTCCGGATGAAGAGATTCTCATGACACAAGATGAAAAATGGGTAATGTACTTCGATGGTGCATCCAACCAAAAGGGATGTGGCGTAGGAGTGTTACTCATAAGTCCAGAGGAAGCACATACTCCAATCTCTGTCAAACTAGACTTTGAGGTTACTAATAATGCCGTAGAATGTGAAGCGCGTATTATTGGATTAGAAGCAGCAGCTAGCATAGGTGTGCAAAAATTAGAGGTATATGGAGATTCCAGTTTGATTATAAATCATATACTGGAAAAATGGAAAATAAAGAACTCCACAATGATATTATACCAAGCACACCTAGAACAACTCGTCGAGCACTTTGAACATATTGACATTAAATATCTCCCAAGGGATGATAATCAATTTGCCGATGCGCTAGCAAAATTAGGCTCAATGATCAACATTCCAGATCACTTGAATATGATGCCATTATGCATTGATAGAAGAGAAGAACCGTCATATTGCAACGCAATAGAGGAAATAAATGACATCGAAGGGAACAATCCTTGGTATGATCATATCCTCCAATATACTACTAATGGCACATATCCCGAAAAACTTCATCGAAAGACGAACGAGCCTTATGAGCACTTGCGGCTCAATACGGTCTATTAAATGGTCAATTATG